TGTGTGTGTGTGTGTGTGTGTGTGTGTGTGTGTGTGTGTGTGTGTGTAGGGGGAGGGGATGTGCTTCTTCCTGATACTTATTTTCACTGTATTGTCTGGGCCTCGGCTCATATCAATAGGCATTGAGAGTTTGTGCGTCATTACTCAAAGGCAGGCAACATCAGTAGGTGAATGTCATCCTATGATCTTGGCTAGAAGACAGCCTAAGGTGCTGATGTTGTTGTGGGTCTCCTATTTGAAGATCACTGCAGGGATGGGAGGGTTGTGATTGGCCTCAGGCTTGGAACCTACACATCCCTGGAGTTCGAACTCTTTACCTAACTGTTCCTCTGGGTCTGGGTTTTATACATTAAGTTATAGACCTCTACACAGATACTTCTATATAGAGACCTTGTTTAAGATATAGGTTTGTGTGTATACATATACACACACACATAGCTATATTATATATATATATGTACACACATAGCATTTATACATATGCATATAAGTGTATGTATGTATTTATACATATATATTGTAAAGCTACAGTTTATATGTATATATACACATATATACACTGTAATGCTCCATCACAGCTGTGATTGTGGCTCAGTTGTTGATTATAGAGTCTAGGGAACAGGGACATGACTGATATGCATATGAAATATATATATATATATAGGTGATTGACATCAGAGGCATGAAATTTGTGTGCCTAGAAGATGGCCCAGGAGCACAGAATATGTTAGGGTACCTAGAAGGAGAGACCAGGGAAGGCCATGGTTGGTCATTTATTTTCCTCTACTGCAGTTTCAGTTTGTCCCTGGGGAGAAGAGAAGGGAAGCAACTTTCTCAGGCACCTTCTGAGATGGAGACCCAGTACACTCCCCTGGGCTGTTCATGTCCCAGTTGATTAGTATGCCCACCTCTAAGGCTCATTGGCAAAAGCATAAGAAGGAATTCTCTAATAGGGGCAAACTGGGTGGAGAGGGAGGGTCTGATCCCCAATCCCTAAAGAGGGGCCTAGAAGGTGGGAGACAACGAGGAGGTCATTGGTTAGGGAACGTGATCCAGGAGAAGGGTATGACTACCACAGGCCCTTGGGGGTGACAATTCAGGGCGGGCAGGCAGAAAATCACAAGGTATGGAGAAGTTGAGGTGTAGTATCTCCAGTGGGAGAAAGTGAATCCCCAAATGTCAAAACTCTGGGGAAAAAACCTCAATCACCTCATCCTGACTGCTTATTGGTGTCTAGTATTAGGTCTGCTTATTGGTGCCTAGCAACCCTACTACCACCTTCTTCCCAAGGACTGATTCTTGATTTGAGAGGAGGTATTTTCCTATTTTATTTGTGGTTTCTCCAGTTTAGGGACAATCTGGAACCCAGGACAATTATGTCTACCTCTTGGTTGAATGATATGTACTCATTAACTATAACACTTCAGTCTATAGATGTTTGAGGTTTGGGGTGAGATTAATAATCAACATCCCTTATTAGATGGGATAATCTACTTTAGGCTTCCTTTTTCTACACAGATTAATGCCTAGGATTTGACTTTCTCTGGGGGCAGGGAAGGAGGGGTTGGC